AAATGATAAAAAAAAAAACAAAACAAACAAACAAAAAAAAAACAGGCTTGCTGATCAGTAAGAGACTGGGGGAACCCTGAGACCATGGTCCTTGGTCACATTTCAGGTCTGGAACGAAACTCATCCTCATGCCCTAATTTTCAACTAAGCAGCAGATAGGTCTATAGGGGGGATGACAAACCTAGTGAGGCATTCTAATCATGAAATTCAAGATTAAAATGGCAACATTTACCTGGGGACAAGGTTCAGAGAAATTGGGACTTTCACTCAATTCACAATAAAAAGTTAAAAAAAAAATGATGTGTGAAGAAACAAAATATTATTAAGAAGACAGAAAAGAAAGAAAAGATCAAAATGATGTCAACAGAGACTCTGAAACAGTTTAGGGCTGGCTGTGGCTGTTTTGCGCTGCCATTAGCTTTTAAGTAGCAACTGTCACTTTAAATTCTGAGGAGATTTGTGAGCATGCATAGTAGAACCCTATGGGGATGAGGGTGGCATGTTCACTCACTCAGGCACCCCCTCTAGTCACCAGATGGAGGTCTGCAGACAGAGAGAGACCAATGAATAGATACCAAACAAAAGAATGTCCACATCTTTATCTCTGCAGTTTTGTCAGACGTCTGTGGCTGCTCTGATCCTTCCCCTGCTTGGTCTTGCCCAAGGTGGCTCTGGGAACAGCTGAGCATCTTGAATTAGAAAGCAATGGATTTTTTTGCTTCTGCTACATTCCCCTAGCTTTAAGCCTTCCAACCTTCTAAATATTCCTTTATATGTAGTTCAGAGTTCTGGCACCATCTCCTGAGCCTATTTGGTCTGGTATTCTGTGTTGTTGCTGACGGAGCTCCTCACCGCACTTCCACCCAAACTGCCATCTTATTTGTTCTTTTCTTGAAGTACTTATTGATGAGATCAAAGACTACAGCCTTCAGTATGGATTGCACCTCAATGTAAAGAAAAAGAAAATCCTCACAGCTGAACTAATAAGTAGCATCATGATAAATGGGGAAAAAGATTGAAGTTGTTAAAATTTTTATTTTGCTTAGATTTGCAATCAATATACACAGAAGCAGCAGTCAAGAAATTAAACAATGTATTACATTAGGAAATCTGCTACATAGGACCACTATAAATGAAGAGAAAAGATGTCAGTTTGAAGACTAAGGCAAGTCTTAGTTTGTTATGATCCACACAGTCACAGCATCTGCAATTGCATATTCATGGGAAAGTTGGACAATGAATAAGGAAGACTATAGTAGAATTGATGCATTTGAATTATGGTGTTGGGGAACAATATTGAAAATACCATGAAAGAACCAACAAATCTGTCTTGGAAGAAGTATAGTCAGAATGCTCTTTCAGAATGAAGATGGTGAGATTTCCTTTTTAGTATTTTGGATATGTTTTCAGGAGAGACTAATCACTGGAGAAGAACATCATAGAGGAGGGTCAGATGAAAAGAGGAAGACTCCCAAGGAGATGGACTGAGACAATAACAGCCATAGTGAGCTCAAACATAATAATTGTGAGGAGGATGCAGGACCAGGCAGGTTTTCATTCTGTGGTACATATGGTCTCTATGAGTCAGAATGGACTTAACAACACCTAACAACAATACGTATTAGGCTGACCACACAGTTGGTGATTAATAAAGGTTTGTTTATTAATAAAATGCTTGTTATCAGAGATGATAAGGATGGCTAATCACATGACTGACCACTTAAAATTTTAAATCTAAAATTTAGATAGATTTTAATTGATTTGTGACATCAATTAATTACAGAATTTTTAGGAATTCTTTATACATTCTGCAAACCTTACTGGGCTTTAGGTTGTTGTAAGTTTAATTTAGCCATCAGAGAAAAAAAAGTGAGTACCATGACTGTGTGGATAAAAAACCTTTTTCCAATTTCTTGATTGTGGACTATGCCTGGGATACCTTCAGTCATTTCTGAGAAACTAGGCAACAGCATGTAAGGATCTTAGCACAATTCATCTGCAGGGTCTGTAAAACTCTGGCAAGGGAATCTCCACTCACTGAAGTATTTGTCTTTGTGAGGCTAGGTCAGTGCCATCTGTGTTAACTTGGGGCTGCACCATTCTCCCACCACCTTTTTTACCAATTTGTAGTCTTATGATGACTTGTATGTTGTTATGATACTAACCTATGCCACCAGTATTTCAAATACTAACAGGTCACCCATAGTAGACAGATTTCAATGGAGCGTCCAGACTAAGACAATTAAGAAGAAAGTCTATCAGTCTAGTTCTAAAATTAGCCAATGAAAAACCCATGAATCACAACAGAATATTGTTTGATATAGTGTTGGAAGATGAGCTCTCCAGCGTAGAAGGCACTTAAAATACAGAGGCCACAACAATGCATGCAAACATACTAATGATCATGAAGGCTGTACAGGACAGGGTAACATTTCATTCTGTGGTACATGGGTTTGCCATAAGTTAGAGATGACTCAAGGCAACTAGCAATAACTCACTGCTGTCTTATATGTATCTCTGAGGTAGTGACTCATATATATTTGCACATCCTTCCAAGAGAAAGTACGTGAAGAAAGTAACAGAGGGCTAACAGGTTAAATTCCAAATACAAACTGCTCTTTCCTTGCCTGTTTCCCCAGTAGCTATCCTTCTACGTCAGAGTAAATCACAGAATGATTGCTGCCCAAAAGTCAAAGCCAGGAGTACTCAGTCTTTACTCTCTAAGCATCTTTTTGAGCTCTAACAGAGGTGCTCAAACCAAAATCATTTTACCTCTCATGCAGAACAAAAGGCAGTCTGAATATCATTTATATGATTTCCTCATGGAGATTCATGCCACATTTTAAACATTTATAGATAGGAGCAAAATAATGAACAATGCAGGAAGCATCAAAAGAAGATGGAAGGAATATATGGAGTCACTGTCCCCAAAAAGTTGGTTGATGATCAACCATTTTAGGAGGTAGCCAATGATTAAGAACCAGTGATATTAAAGAAAGAAGTTCAAGCTGCACTGAAGGAAGGCATGGGCGAACAATAAGGATCCAGGAATTGAAATGAAATGGTTCAACAAACTGATGCCACTGAATGCTAGAGACATTCACCATGATATGTCAAGAAATCTGGACAACTAACAAACCAACTGAAAGAGATTTGTATTTTTGCCCATTCCAAAGAAAGGTGACCCAACAGACTGCAGAAATTATTGAATACCATCATGAATATCTTTTTCAAGTAAAAATTTGCTGATGATAAGTAAAAATTAGTTGAAGCAGCACATTTACAAGGAGCTGCCAGAAATTTAATTCAGAAGATGATGTGAAACAAAGGCTATAAGTACTGATGTCAAATGGATCTTTGCTGAAATTAGAGAATTCCCAAAAGATATTTACTTGTGCTTTATTGACTATTCAAGGGCTGTGGCTCATAACAAACTATGAATAACATTGTGAAGAATGGGAATTTCAGAACATTTATTTGTGCTTATGCAGAATCTGTACATAGACCAAAAGGCAATCTTTTGAACATAACAATGGGATACTACATGGTTTAAAATCAGGAAAAGTGTGTATCAGGTTGTTTTTTTTTCCCATACTTATTTAATATGTATAATATGCAAATAATCTGAGAAGCAGGACTATATAAAGAAGAGCGTGGAATTAGGACTGGAAGAAGGCTCATTAACCAACTTCAATATTCAGTTGCTTGCTGAAAGCTAAGAGGTCTTGAAGTACTTGCTGATGTAGATTAAAGAATATAGTAAGAATTACAAGTCAATGTTAATAGAACAAAAATCCTCACAACTAGACTAGTAAACATTATGATAAATGGAGAAAAGACTGAACTTGTCAAGGATTTCATTTTACTTGGATCCACAATCAGTGCTCATGGAAGCAGCAATCTAGAAATCAAAAGCTGTATTGCATTGGACAAATCTGCTACAAAAGACCTTTTTAAAGTGTGAAAGCAAAGATGTCATTTAAAGACTAAGATGAGCCTGACCCAAGCCAACATATTTTCAATTGCCTCATATGATAAGAAAGCTGGACTATGAATAAGGAAGATTAAAGAAGAATTGATGAAATCTATCTATATTGTTGGCAACGAATATTGAAAGTAACATGGATGTCCAGAAGAACAAATAAACCTGTCTGGGAAGAAGGACAGCCAGAATACTACTTAGAAGGAGGATGGCGAGACTTCATCTCTTGTACTTTAGGTATGTTATAAGGAGGAGGGAACAGTCTCTGGAAGGAGATATCATGTGTGGGAAAAATATATATATATATATATATTATAATCCTGTTTATTGTATTCGGGTAACCTTTTTTTTTTTTTCCTGAAGTAAAGAATTTATGATCTCTCTCTTTTTCTTTGGTTACTTCCTGAAGTGAGTAAAGAATTTATGATTGCTCTCTTTTTCTTTTAACTACTTTCTGGAGTAAAGAATTCACGATCACTCTCTTTTTCTTTTCCTAAAGTAGCAGTGCGCGCCTTAAAAATTTGAACTAGCCAACTGGGTAAGGCAAAAGATTGTGCGGTCAAAACCCTAGCCAATAGGGTGAGACACAGCCTTGAGATTCGCGTCAGGGATTAGAAACCCAAGTGGACTGCCTGTTCCTGTATGTACGACTATGCTCACGGTACACCCTCTTGCAGGAGTAAATTTTGCTTTGCCAAGGTAATTTAGTCTCACCGAGTGTCTTTTATGTGACATCAGGATTCATTTCTAACACAAGCTTGGTAAAATATAAGGTGTAAAAGTGGAAAATTCCCAAAGGGATGTTTTAACACAGTGGTTGCCACAACAGGCTCAAACATAACAATTGTGTGTTTTGTTCTGTCTTGGGTGAGTCAGAGCCGACTCAATGACACCTAACAACAACAAAAGTATAGAAACTTAAAAACTTAAAAGTATAGAAACTTAAAAATTCAGGTGACTGAACCAAAGTATATTTCAAATGACAATACATTTAAAATGATAGTATTAAAGCACATACCACAGTACCCTGGGGTTCCACATACTGTCTTCATGAGCACTTGATGTTCCACAATTTTAGAGAGTCCAAAATCAGCTAATAACAAAAGAAAAAAGTTTACTGAAACAAGTTTTTTCTCAGCTTGCATAAGAAGACTGACTACCTTTGTTATTTAAAATAAAATGTAGTTGTTTTTGTATTAGATGGTGGGGTGGTATGGGTAGGAATGATTCACCTGGGAGAGAGGAAGCTAAAGAAGTTTAAAAATCAAAGAAAATCTTGCTTTACGTTTGAAAAAAAGTAATTCCTAAATACATTTTATGCTTTCTTTTCCATAATTCCCAGCTGTTACGCAAAAAACTATTTTTTTCCTTTAAATAATAACTGTGATAGTTATATTTTACCTAATATTCTTATTCTCAAAGTTATCATATAATATAAAATTAGTGATATAATTCAGAACTTCAATCCATTGGGGAAATCTTTTTAAAACTAGAATTTCACAAATGTCAAGGAAATAAACGTAAATATCAAAAGGCCTGCTCTGCTTGACAGGAAAGAATATCATTTCCTAACATATTTGAAAGGTAAGAATTTACTCATATGAAGAATCGAAAATATTTTTTCTTGCAAAACGTCTTTATTCATTCCTCAGAACATTACCCAGGCAAAATATAACCAAACGTTGCTACCATTATAAGATATTTTCTGTGCTATATCTGTCTCACTCAGGAAACCCTTCCAGACCATTTTTCAAGAGAGGAAGGTACAGAATGGATGCCATTTTAGACTTCAAAAGTAAACCCACCTTTCCACTGAGAGGCCTAATTCCTATCAGCAAAAGCAGCAGGAAGCCTTTCAGAAAGAAAGGCTCTCCTGCCTAAATTAGTATCTATCCATTCATTTAAAGATATTTTTTAAGGATAAAATCTTTGAAAGTGATGTCAAAAGAAATGGGAACTTGCCTGCTGTTCAAGGTCTTTCAGGAGTGATTATGAAAACAAGCTGTCTGCCAGCAGGACTTTTAGGACTTTTTTCTTTATATTATTACATTCATAAAGCACATAATGTTTTCTGAGCTCTTCCATGATATCTACAACTTAATCTTCAAAGATGTTAACACTTGTAAATGCAGTGAACTCATCAGAGGGACAGTATAAAGGATGGCACCAGAGAAGCAGTGTCCTTTGGAGAATTTAATACAGATTCTGAAAGGAGAATTCATCTAAAATAAAGATTTTCTGCTTTTGTAAGTGAAGATTTACTTAGGGGAGGACATGGAGAGTGACATTTAATGTATTCCTAAAATGCTTATTTAAGGGTTCTTTGAGTTGATTGAGGTGCCTTAGCAGTGCAGTGACTAAACCTCTTGTCTTCTAACTGAATGGCCAGTGATTTGAATATAACAGCTGCACCTCAGGGGAAAGATGTAGCAGTCTGCCTCAGTAAAGCTTTGGGAACCCTATGAGGTAGTTCTCTGTCCTATAAGGTAACTATGAATAAGAATCAACTCAGTGGCAGTGGGTTGGTTTGGTGGGTTGAGTAGATTAGAATTTCCAAAGGTCATCTTTAGAGCAACATTTCTTCAAAATGCTCACTGGAGGGCATGTGGGTAGTGTTCTGGGGCAAATAAAGTTTGGGAAAAGTCTCATGCTATATTATATGTCATGTTGTTGTTGTTGTTGTTATGTGCCGTGGAGTCGGTTCCGACTCATAGTGACCCTGTACAGGGTTTCCGAGGCTGTAAATCTTTACGGGAGCAGATCGCCTCATCTTTCTCCCGCGGAACTGCTGGTAGTTTCGAACTGCTGACCTTGTGGCTCGCAGCCCGATTTGTAACCACTACGCTACCAGAGCTCCTCATATGTCATGTGTATGTCATGTTACACATTAGCATTTATAAGGTTCTAGTGGTCTGGCACTGTGGGTTAATGTACCAGACTGCAAAGCCATTTGAACTGCAAGGTTGGCAGTTCAAGCTCACCAGCTGCTCCTCGGAAACCCTATACAGGGTCTCTGTGGGCCACAACTGACTGGATGGCACTTAACAACAGAAGTCATAGAGAAATAAAAATCTTATTTAAGCTGGCATTTCCTAAACTTATTTAACTAACAATGGCACCTATGCAAATCAAATCAACCTCCCACACACACACAAAAATATTTATTCACTCTGCTGAGGAACCAGTTTCTGCAGGGTGTCCTTTGGACAATACAGATCTCAACTTATTGCTGCTCATATAAACAAATGAACCAGTGTCTAGATTCACTGATACGTACGTAGGCATTCACTTAAAATCGAGCTCCAATCAATATGCAAAATAAAGTTCATAAAAATGTTTTGTTATCTGTGATTGTTCCTTAATACCAAAGTAAGTCAAAAACTATTGCTACAAAATCATAGCTACCTTGATTAAAATAATGTGAAGCTGGTGAGGCACTGTAGGATGAAGTACAAGACCACAAGGTCTGTCTGAAAATCAAGATCAACAGTTCAAACTCACCAGCCACTCCTGGGAAACCCTATACAGGGTCACTATGAGCTGGAGTGAACTTGAATAGCACTTAACAATAACAACATTGTTTCTTGATATATCTGCCATCTTGGTCTATATACTTCTGAAAGCAGGGTTTCCATCTCTCTAACCCTTCCCCAAAGGAGCTCTGGTAGCGTAATGGTTACAAATCGGGCTGCAACCTGCAAGGTCAGCAGTTCGAAACTACCAGCTGCTCTGCAGGAGAAAGATGAGGCTTTCGCTCCCATAAAGATTTACAGCCTTGGAAACCCTGTACAGGGTCACTATGCGTCGGAACTGACTCCACGGCACATAACCACCAACCACCACCAACCCTTCCCCAAAGAATTACCACCAACCACCACCAACCCTTCCCCAAAGAATTTTATGATCAAAACAGTAGTTTTAGCATCTTTGAGAGCTTCAAATTGTGTTCATTTTAAATATTCTTTGAGCAACAAAAAGACATCTGAAGAGGCAAGATCAAGGATTTAAGGTAGCTGGAATAAAGTTTTCCAGTCAAATTTCCATAGAATAGTCTTTGCAACCCTGGAAGAATGAGCAACTGCATTGCCATGATGGAAAAATAAAAAATCCTTGGTGCACTTTCCTGGCCTTTTTCTCACCAATTTAGTTTTCAATTTTAAAAAACTTCTTCATAATAATCGCTTGTGATCGTTTTGTGTTCTTCAAGAAAATATATCAAGATTACTCCTTTGAAGTTCCCAAAAATCAGTTGTCATAACCTTTTGAGATGATCTCTAGGCCTTGAATTTAGCCCAGGAGATCCCCTCCAGAGCCAGCATTTTGCTTGGATCATATTTTTTTGAAGACGTACCCCAACCCCTATCCCCATCCCCCTCAACCCTGTCCAGCCAAGAGCCTGAGACAAGTGTAGTACTGAGAAAATTTGTCAGTAGTCCTCCAGTGACCACAGAGACATGTTCAAATACATTTTGTTTAAATGTGGCGCTGTGGGTTAATGTGGCAGACTGCAAAACCGTTTGAACTGCAAGGTTGGTGGTTCAAGCTCATCAGCTGCTCCTTGGAAACCCTGTACAGGGTCACTATGGGTCTGAATCGACTCAACGGGGCACTTAACAACAACAACAACAACTTATGAATTGGAATGTTAGTAGCAATACTTTTTGACTTATCCTTATACAAACTTTTTTACAAAATATAAAGCACGAAGAGATGTGATTTCTTCAAATGCCCAGCAATTAGCAACAATTTCTAGACACTACTCTCCAAGTTAATATCCCATGACACAAAGCATAAACTTCCAAAACCATGTGTTATTCTTTTATATTGCTAATTATTCAAGAAAATTTAGTGGGAAAAAAAATAGATGAAACAATATTTTTAAGTGCCAAAACACAAATTTCGTCTTCTACTCTGAGAAAAGGGGTCATAGGAAATTTTCTCACCAATTTTGAGTGGTGCATCTGGGGCTGGAGTTGCATAGAGAAGATTCTCTGGTTTAAGATCACGATGGACAATTCCATTTTCATGTAGGTACTAAGTAGAGAAATAAGAATGCAAGATCTGTGTAATTATATTTATAGTTCCAACACTTATATTTAAGCATTTCATGACTACACTGATCTTTACTGAAGATACATAAATAAACAACTCACACATATTATTATTTAAAATATATATCACAAAGGAAAATGTATTTAAAGTAAACATCATTCAAGGACAGTTTATAAATTGTTGCCTAAAAGTGAAATAAAATTTAAATTGTGTAGACCCAATTTCCGGAAATGAAACACCTCATTCTCTGAGAATATTAATTATAGTCTTTCTTATGAATATTATTATATCTGTTACCACTGACTAATTATGACTAAAATAAAATCAAGATGATATGTATTTAAATTTTGTTTATTGCCTCACACCATATTACTTATGACTTCACAATTACTGTTTGAAAAGACATTGAAATATGAACACTCTCTTCTCACTTATCAGTATGGTTAGATTCCAAAGTCCAGGTTGTTAATGTGAAAATGGAGGATGAACACATCAGATGACAAAAAGAGAATCACTACAATATTAGATAACTTCCAAGGTACATCATTGCATTACTGCCAAATTTCATCATTATATAATTGCCAAGCCACTGAGAATCATGGCCTAGCCAGGTTGGCACATAACTTTAACCATCACAGCCAGCATCACTCTCACCTTGGTACTCATTACTGCCAAAAAATGTCACTGGTATGCGAAATAGTTGGATAGTAGTTTTTAATAATATAAATGTAAAATGCCAGATAATGAGATGGTCAATAACTGAGGAGTAGGAGGTTTGTTATTATAAAGACAGTATTTTAATATGATAAACATTATTTGATGGTGATGACTGATTATATTTCATAGGCCCTTCTGAGAATAAGTACACCCAACTATCATTATAAATATAAAAGGTTATCTTCAGGATGAATCTGAAGTATCATTTCTAACCATCCCACTCATTTTAAAGTATTTTAAATTATTTTATAAAATTTAATTCAATTACATATGTAACAAATTTTCATTTTAAATAATAAAGTCCTACCTTACCCGCTTACCTTCTTCAAAATGTGAAATTATTTAACCCATCAGCTTGAAATGATTAGATTTTTTTCTATGTACTCACAAACATGAAAATAAGTTTACCTATGGTTTTGACCTTTTTCTAAAATAATTGTATCATGGTGGTAGTGGTGTGCCATGGAGTGGGTTCTGACTCATAGAGACCCTGAATAGGATTTCCGAGGCTGTAAATCTTTATGAGAGCAGAAAGCCTCATCTTTCTCCCGTGAAACAGTTGGTAGTTTTGAGCTGCTGACCTTGAGGTTAGCAGCCTGACTCATAACCACTACACTCTCAGAGCTCCTTAAATGTATCATAAATATCTATATTTTTTACACTGCTAACGTTTTGTATGTAAAGTCACTTTCTGCCTCCTGTCATGCTGAGGAGCCATCAACTCTTCAAAGGACCTGCGGTGAGAGAACTTCTCTGAGGTAAAGTGGTCTCTGTAGAAGCCATAAACGTGTTCCATAAGCTAAAGAAAAACAGGCATTTGTAACCAGCCAAACCCAGACAGCACTAATACCAAATTACTAGTCAGGTAAGTTCCTGTCTTAACCCTTCAGCTCCTTCCACTCTCCCACAATCATCCTTAACATCTCAACCATGGAAGGGCTACAAATAGCATCTAGCTGCTTGGAAATCAGTAAGAAAGAGAAAAGAAATAAACACTATCTCCCACCTCATAGTTATAAACTATAGATCATTAAGGTCCAGTTTGGAGGAGGGGAGACATTTAAAACTGGAAGCAAGTCTAACATTTTGTTCTTTTTCTTGTCCAAGAATGACAGGGAAAGCTATGAAAATTACTTGAAGTAAATTTATTCCTGGAGAGGAAGCATAAAATGACACAATTTATTTTATTTGCAGATGAGTCAAAAGAGGTGATCAATACATTTCTAAGGATTTTAGGAAAATAATTTTAATATTTCCTTGCTAAGGGCATATCTGGAGTCTTTGCATGGCACTGTAGGATCAGCATTGGGCTGCTAACCACAAGGAACATGGTTCAAACCCACCAGTCCCTCCTTGAAAACCCTACATATGGTCACTATGAGGCAGAACTGACTTGATGGCAGTTGACAAAAACAATAACAAGGACATATATTTACTGAGTTCTGATTTAATATTATGTTCTTGGTTTTTGATTAAAGGTCAACAAGCATATTTAGGTCATATTTAGGTCTTTTTTTTTTTTTAATTAAAGAACAATTTCATGACAGATAATTTGGATCCATATAATAATTAGCTAAGTGACCCAAAATTTTAGTTTTATCTGTGATTCCCACTTTGCTCATTGTAGTGAGAATTACAGATGAGATAAGTAACAAAGTAAGCATATTAGGAGTATATTGTCAATATTCTGCCCCATGAGGACACTATCATTGTTGTATCATGTCTCTTGGAAAATAAATTATACTTAAAAAACTGTTGAGCTTTGAACCATTTCCTCTTTCCTGAAGCTATATTTGACCTGAAACACTTATTTTCTTTATAATTTATTGTCTTTTCCTCTTCTGTACTGGTTGCCAAAAAGCTCATTGCAAAGGAGGTTTCAGTGACAATAATTAGGCTATTTGGGGTACATGTCTGCCTTCCTCTGCCTGCTTTTGTTCTCTTTTACACTTTAACAGCATTATCTCATATGCATCTTTTATCTAATTTGCCACAAAGTCTCTTTATGAGAAAATGCAATAAAAGTTATAAATAGAGTTTCAGGAATACAGACTATAGAAGTTTTACATTTACTTTCAGAATTAGACAATAACTTTAGAGGCTTCAGTTCAGGTCTCTCGCTGTTTGCACACCTCTATTCTGGTGACTAGAGGGAGGTGCCTGAGAGAGTGGGCACCCCTGCCCTGAGGGTTCTACTACAGAGTTCCTCAAAATTTAAAGAACAGTCTCCACTTAAAACCAAATGTCAGTGTAAAATGGCCACAACTGACCATAAACTGTTTATCACTAGGAAAAAGGCCAGAATTGGGGTTGTAGAATAGAGAGACAGACTAAGAATGAAACAGGCCAAAAATTAAATCCTGAGTTACATCATAAAGACCAACAGTGGCATCTTGAAATTTCTCAGGTGGCCTTAAAGGCAAGAAGCTGAAAGAGAATATTAAAGTCATATTAGATTACAGAGTTTTTTCTTTTCTGTGATTATAGACTACATTATCCAATCTATCTTTTTGCTGTTGCTGTTTTGATTTTTTGATCCCCTCTTTACCTTTAGGGGGCTCTTTCTCTCCCTACATTACCCAAGAAGACACAGCAATTGCTGTCATATAGTCAAGCTACAATCACATAATATTAAATCCACAATCCAGGCAAGAACCAATACCAGCTGCCATACTCCAGGCTGCCAACACTTGCAACAGTTACTCTACGTCGAGTAATAAGTAAAGTGAAAAGGGAAGCTCATCTCTTGTTCACATCTACCTGGAGGCAATCAGAAAGCATAAAAAATACCAAAACACACACTCATCTAAGTATTAAGGCCACAGCTAGCTAGTGAATATGCCCAAGAAATAGAAACAGATGATCATATCAGCACATGTCCGGAAACAAGATAAAGTGACTGAGACAAATAAGCTGGAGGTAGACCTACACTCCATACTGGAATGAGGGCAGGCTTTGGCAATGTCTAAGAAGGAATTCAGGAAAATGATTATAAAATATTTCAAAACACTTTACCATGAAGTTGAGAAAAATAAGGAAGAATTCAGGAAAGTGCTACAGGAACAATTAAATAAGATAAATACAACATTGGAAAGAATTAAAAAAACTATAGAGAGAGGTTCAAAAGATTAATAATAGAATAGCAGAAATAGACAAAATACTAAAAGGGCAAAGGAGCAAAACTGAAGAGATGGAAGGCAGAACTAGCGAGCTGGAAAACAAATCTCTCAATACTAAGATAGAAGAGTAAGTAGACAAAACAATATAAGTCTGAAGAAGGTTAAGATTCATGTGGGCAACATGAAGAGAAGTAACATAAGAATTATTGGCATTCCAGAACAGGGATAATCACAAAAGTCCACAAAGGAGATACTTGAGGAACTGTTAGAAGACAATTTCCCTAACATCCTGAAAAGTGAAAAGATAAGCATTCAAGAAGCTCAACAAACCCCAGGAAG